CGAAACAAACATTTTTTTTTTCTAATTCTACCTGACAAACAATCATTTTCAAAAAAAGGTTTCCATCACAGAGGTGAGGATGTGGGTAATCATCCTTTGAATACATTTGAACATCCTTTGAATAGGAAGATGTTGAGGAGAGAGCCTCTTTAAAGATGAGATCAAATGAGTCTGTTTGAAAGCACATGTCTGAGTCTCTGCCTGAGAGTCAGACATGCTAAGTGCCAATTTATAAAACGTAAAAACACTTTGAAGTCTTTCTCATCATTTAAAGACCACACCATTTTGCTGAATTTTAAACTCACAGGAAACAAACTCCGTGAACCCCCAAGCTAACAAACCAAAGGTGTCACCCAGCAGTCGACCTCGCTTCCCATCAAATGTTTGTGAAAACTGTCTCAGTCTAAAACTTTGTGACTCTCCTGAACTTCACTGATGTTGCTCTGTTTGCTGCTGATGGGAAGTGCTTCAGCTTATGTGAGAAATCAAAGTTCTATTTGTTTCCTGCGAGGGTTTTACCTCCTCCTGCTCTCACACACACACACTGTGTTACTGTACAGCCCACCTGTGGTGCAGTTAAAGTAAAGCAAAATGAAAAAGCTTCAGGTGGTATCTAATGATGCATTCAGAGTCTTGTAGCAGCTCCCAGGACGGACAAGAGTGAGAAATATGTCCATACCTATAGATGTGTTTCCAACTTCCCTGCTGTGTTGAAGTGTTATTTACAAATTTATGTGTGGATTGATTATCTAATAATGTAAAAAAATAGCTTTACACATAAAATAACAGAAGGTACTCTGAAAGATTGCCATAACATTTTCCTGTGTTTTAGATGTAGATATGTGAAATGCAGGGATTCTATAACCACGTTTTTTATATTTTACTTTATATTCTAAATGCCTTCTGCTGAAATCTTTTTAATCAAATTTTAAAACATGTATCTCACTCTCATCATTAGTGTCAATATGTTGTGCATTTACTCCAAAGATCATTTCGATTATTCACTGTTGTGCAGGGATCTCTGGCTGATCAAACAGTATTTGCTCTTTCAGGAGATCCACTTTGGTTGTTTTGCCTTTCATGCAGGTTCTGCATTTGTGACATGATTGGTCCCTGCAATGATAAGGCAGCTTTCTGGCCGCAAAATACCAGCCTGAAACTTCAATCTCTCTCAATGTGGACTGGCCCGCAGCCAGTTACCACCCATTTAATAAGCAAACCGACACTTTGGTGTGTGGACACTGGTAATCTCCAAAAGAGTACTCAGCACTTTTAAGATGCAGCTGCCTGCCGACAACAAGTCTGATCAGCCGCACCTGTATGCTAAGCTCTTGTAGGTGGTAGCTCAGACTGAGAGTACTTTAGCGATTTGTTCATTCTGTTAAAAACAAAGTGCATGTTAAGACTTGTAGGCTGAGCTGTCAGAGAGTTTTTCAAAGTGAAGTGTGTGATTCAAAAACAGTGTGGTGTTGTTATTTTCCAACACGGCAGCTGCAGGAAGACTCTGCAGCAGCTTTACTCCAGTGTGTCTCAGAAGCCATATAACAGCACATGGTTTTAAAAAGTTAAGACTTTATTTCAAACCACATTCATACACTCATGACTGTTTTATGATGAGACCAGCAGTATTAGCTAATCCCATTCAAACATATTCACAAACAGTAGCTGTATCACTAGGATCTTCAGTGTTTTGCCTTAAGACACTTTGCCATAGGGACTGCGAGAGCTGGGATCAAATTCCAACCACTATATACATATATTTCCAAAGAATTGAGAAAATTGAGAATTTTTCTTACTCAGGCCAAAAATAAAAATAAAGGTAACACTTTACAATAACCATAACTTATAAATGGTAAATAGACCATTTATAAATGGTAAGCAGATAGTTTATTAATGATTAATCATCATTTATAAATAGCATATAGACCATTAATAAATTGTAAATTTTACAATTTTAAAAACCTGACCCTAACCTTTACTTTACAATTACCATCAAAGTAATGTTTATAGGTGGTTTATAAAGTACTTATTAATCATTTACAAAGTATTACAAACATTAGTTGCAACTTTATGATAACCATCTAAGTATTTTAAAGATGGTTTAAAAAAAAAAAGTATTAACCATTTACAAAGTGCTACTGACACACATTTCAGTCTAGATGTTTTACAACCAACATTCAAACCCTATGTAAACCTTTAATAAACTCTCCATTAATAATAAATGAAAATTATAAATCATAATTTCATTGCTTGTTAATGGTAAAGTAACTTAACTTACAACAAACTATTTGGCAATCATAAATTAAGGTAAGTATGAAGTGTCACCAAAATAAAAAAATCAAAATCGAAAAGATACAATTTATCATTCTGTCTTTGTCATTCTCACTTATATTATGTTATTGAAATTTTTCATTGTCATTTTTTTCAGAAAAATTTGAACCCAAAGACATTGCGATCTTAAAATTGATCCTTTCCGTTAATAAGGGTTTGTTAATTAAACGAGTTCAAGCTCTTTTCCATTATTTCACAAGTGACCGAGGATAATAAGGACGTCATGTGGAGAAAAAAAATCTGTTTTTGAGTAAATTTTAATCTTTAAGCCGACTGTTTGTGGTTTTATTAGTATCATTTTTACAACTAGGATCATCATCATCATCATCATCATCTCCTCCTCTATAACCTCTATAACAAGTGCTGCTGCTGTTAATGAGCTCTCTGAATGTGATATGAAACACACTGTTTGCATTTTAAATGAGTCACATGTTCATGAAATTCAGCTCCATCTGCCGTCTCTCTCTCTCTCTCTCTCTCTCTCTCTCTCTCTCTCTCTCTCTCTCTCTCTCTCTCTCTCTCTCTCTCTCTCAGTGGGCGCAGACGCTCGCTCGGTGCATGGAGGAAGCGCACACTGCAGGTATTTAGATCCAAACGCAGACAGCAGCGCAGCTCAGCGCGCGGACAGGATTTTATCTCCATCCTCGCGGTCAGAGCGGATTTTCAGAGAGAGGGAAAACAGGAAAGGAGAGGTCTCACTCCGTCAAAGTTTACCACCGCTTCTCGCCTTTCCTCAAACTTACAAACAGCCCGCATTTGGATGTGATCGATGCTCGGAGCTCGCGGTGCTGTTTCCTGCCTGCAGAGCGCTCAGAGCGGCGGAGGAGCGGCACGCGTCTCGATCCGGTTTCACGCGCTCAGGGAGGAGAGTGATCCGGCAGCAGCAGCAGCAGCAGCAGCAGCAGGATCCAACCCGAAGGATGGGAATAAAACAGGGTTTGGATTACTGTTGAAGTAAGGAGAAGAGAGTGTTCATGATGATGGGCTGCTCCTGGAGAGAGGAAACATCTGAAACCGTCTGAAAGGTAAGAAGTCGCATCGATCTGTGATAATTTGGATGTGCATATGGTAACTTCGGCAATGAGCAAGAAATGTAATGTAGACTTTCCTCTCTGGTGTTGGTGCGACTAAAGTAGCTCATAATCTTCGTGTGATCTGCATTACCCCCCACCCCCCTCCCCTCCAACACCCATCATAGCGCCCTCTTTAAAAAAAACGGACTGGGGGATCCGCTCAGTGGTCAGTCCCCCTCTATCCTCCCCTCCCCCTGGATCCCGTACAGATGTTATCAGAGATCATTCAATAGAGACGCACAGCTTCACAGCTGCCTCCCCATGCAGCTGAACTTATTGTTGTGAGAATGAAACACAGCTGGAGTGTTTAGTCACATCATGCAGCTTCTCAGTATGTGTGTGTGTGTGTGTGTGTGTGTGTGTTTGCACAGGCAGATGGCTGTACTTTACAAAGATGTTTCAGTACCATTTATTTCACACTGATACCTGGAGCGTGTGAGCCAATACTAAGTGCTTCCTGATGCCAGTATTCTGAAAAATATGTTTTTTGAGTGGAGGAACTGCTGATTATTTCTACTCTTGTCTAACGTTACACACTCTGCTGGCACCACTGTGTTGATTTTTATCATCACAACACCCTCTCAATGCTCTCCCAACATCCCATTACAGTATCATGTGTCTGCAGAGACCCAGGCTGCATTTTCAGGAAGGTCCACAGTCCAGAATCTAGGGTTAGGTCAGGACTTTCAATACTCTTCTTTCATATTTGGCGATTCAATTCAAACAACAAGAATTGCAGAATTGTAGGTTTTAATTTGCAGCTGCTGGGTCTGCATACACATGCTGCTAAGTTATGGTGTTGAAGCCCATCATATTGTTGAGTTCTTTCACTCAGCGGACATCCATCTATCCATCCATTATCCTGTTGGAGTAGAGGCAAGGGCAGTGCCGCCTAATTTGAATGCATATGGGAAACACCTGAATAGGTCTGCCGCCTGTTTTGGGGCATTTTTCAGACAAGAACAGTCCCACTGAAAACCAAAAGAAGTTTTTTTGAAAAACCCATGCTCACATGACATATTTGTTTATATATTTACAACAAATGACTGAAAAAGCTGAAGTTTGCATGCCTGGAGAGTAGGGCTGGGCGATAAACCGAAAATTTACAGATACCGAAATTTATGACAAAATCTGTCATCATTTTGCCCGTGTCAATACATTTGGTGTAAAAAAAAAATTAAAGTTGTAGTGGTTCGAAAGTTGTCGCGGCTGAAGTAGACTAAGTTAATGTGGGAGGGGCTGAGCAGTTTGTGGAGTAGTTAATGTCCATATATTGTTGTCGAGTTAAACCGAGGTGGTGGTCTGACTTTGTAATCATAGGATGAGGGTTCATTGGTTGGATGGGGGTAAGTCACTGAAATTTCTGAAAGTCCCTGAGTAGCAGCTCAATATGCACCGTTTGGACAAAGAAGAAAAGTTATTGTGCAAATGAATTTGATCTGGTGAAAGTCTATGATGGTAACAACTTGACGTACAGAGTATCATGTGTTACAACCATACCTTCATGGCCACCACAAGTTCATCAACAAGAGGGATGAGGGAGCGTTTAATTCCAGAATCTGGTATTTAAAGCTGTTGACTATTTCCATGACTTGGTCATTGATGAGGATGGGATGCTAAGGTAAGGGGGGACTTATTATGAGTTTCTTCCAAGGCCGAGTTGTTATCTGTGAGCAGAACTTGTAAGGCTGTGTCGTCTGAGTTTTTGAGCTTTTCAGTAGTGGGTGATGGGCTGATGCAGTCATTGGCGTACACTGGTGGAGGAATTTGGTTTAGCATACAACCCTGTGGTGCTCCTGTGTTGATTGTGATCCACTATCATCTAAAAAGGTATGGATGAGATGGATCAGATGTTAGGGGGTGTTGAGCTGGTGTACTTTGTGGATCATCACATGGTTTTGGATGGTATTACAAGCAGAGCTGAATTACACAAAGAGGATCATGACAAAGTGACCTGGGGAGTTCAAGTGATAGAAGAGGAGGTGCAGCAGGCATGCCACTGCGTCCTCAGTGCCCCTTGTGGCCTTGTAGTCAAATTGAAGGGGGTCATGCTGTGGGGTGATGACAAACAGGATAGTACCCAGCAGCAGCAGCAGCAGCAGCAGCTTCTTCAGGCACTTCATAATCATGGGGTGAGGGCATCGGGTTGATAATAGTTTGGTTTGGCGGTATTTTGGGTACAGGGATTATGGTGGCGGGTTTCCAGGGGGCAGGTATGCTAGCAGATTCACAGAAAAGTGAATGAAGCACTGATGTTAGTTCATGTGCACAGTCCCTCAGCACCCTTGCTGGGATGCTGTAAGGCCCTGGAGCCTTGCCCAGCTTGCATTGGCTGGGATAGCACCGTACATCCTCCTCTGTGAAGGGGGCTGGCTCATCTGCTTCCAGTGGAGGGAGGAATTCCAGCAAAGCCTCAAAATCTAGTGCGTCAAAACGGCAAAAAAATCTATTCTGTTCTTCTGCAAAGGATTCTGGATCAATTATTGTGCAGGTTTTGGGTTTGGGATCACACCCTGTGAGAGTTTTCACCTTCTGAAATCCCCGCTTGGTGTTCATGTTGACATATTCAGATTTTAGTTCATCCTTGAATTTAATTTTTGCCTTAGAGACTCCATGTTTTATTTTCATGTTTTCCAATTTGATACTTTCCCAGTCCTTGAGCCTAAAGGCTCTGTGTTTTTCCTTTAGGCTCTGTCTTATTTCATGGGTTAACCAAGGTTTGGTGTTGGGATGCTTTTTAAAAATTGTTTTAACAGGAATACTGGTGTTAGTGCAGAATTTTATGTAGTCTGTACTGACAGAAAATCTGTCTTTTATCAGTTTGTTAAAATATACACTTCCTCATCAATGACTCGATTTCACTATATATATCTTTTATTGTTTATTATGATAAATTCAGACATTTGGATTATGTGTGATCAATGATGATGGCACCATAGTACTAAAATTGCAATTGGTATTATGTCTAAAGAGTTTTGGACCAATCACAGATCCTTGGGGTATTCCACAGGTAACCTCCCTAAGCTCTGACACTGTATCAATTATTCGTATACAATGCTGTCTATTTTTCAAGTATATTTCTACTAGATAATATGCAGGTCCTTGTACCCCATGCTTCTCCAATTTTCTCAAGAACTGTCTGTGACCAATTGTATCAAAAGCTTTCTGTAGTTGGAACATTTGCATTAACAAAACCTCTGATTTTTACACTGTGGGAATGTCAACATGTGTGACAAATCACATGAAACCAGTCTCTTCCTCGGTGGGACTGATAAAATGTGGTATTGGATCTGTGTATTGACTGGACACTCACTGATATCAGATACCATGCTGCTGGCTGTATAGATTTAAGAAAGAAAAAACTCTTCTGTGAAGCTGGACACACTGTCAGTGAACTGATGTGAAAACACATAAAAGTTGTTCAGCGATGGTCACACAAGCTGATCGATACTTAGCAGAGGCCATGCTCTGAGTCATGCAGCAGGTGGATCAGCCTGGGGTCCAGCCTCATGTTTCGACCTGGTTATTGAACATTGTGATTCACTTTCCTCATCTTGTTCTGGCCTTCAGGGTTTAGGATGTGCGTGGCCTTTAACAGTTTGCAGCCTCGACTCTGCCCAAGCGACTCGATCGGTAAACCGTGTGTTTGGGGGGATTGAAGCTGAATAATACATGGCTTCATACAGAGGCTGTTTACTGGCTCGCGGCCCACTTGCAAGGGATTGTGGATGTGGATTCAGGTGAAGCAGCACGCCAAGCAGGAGAACCTCCGTCTCTAATCTGCCTGTCTACTAAGGGATGACCTTTGGCTTGTGCAGATTAGTGCCATGCTCTAATTGACTTACCATTAACCCTTCCAACACATATTTTGGTGTCATGCTAGAGGTGGCTGAGCTGCACTGTGTCCTGATTGTTTGGGAGGGGGAGGGGCATTAATCTATCTCCCGTCCATCCCTGAGTTCCCAGGCTGCAGTGAAACTGCTAATCCCTCAGTAATCATAGCTTTAATCTGACAGAGCTATGACTTGCTTTACCTCACTGGTGCACTAAATGAAAAATGAGCGGGAATGCTCTGCTGCAAAGCAAGGAGCATGTTATTGAGTTTATCATCCTCCAGTGTTGCAGAAATGGCTATTTCAGAAGAGGCTGGTGTCTTGTTATCTTATTTCAGCCGCCTTTCCAGTCACTCGCAGGAGGTGTCAGAAATGCTGCTGTTACTGCTGTGTTCCAGGGTTATGGTTAAATAGAGTTGCACAAACTTTTGGAAAATTCTCAGCTAACAAAATTTTGACTAAGAAGTAGATCAACAATACCATAAACCGCTGTTCAATACAGTTCAAATGTTGCTCATATCTGTAAGTAATAATATCTTTGATGACCTCAGGACTCAACAGTCACAGTTAGCACCAAACCATTAAATAGTTAATCTCATAACCAACTGGAAATATGCTTGTAAACCAGAAAGTGAGAGAACTGTTGTAGAACTTGCTACTTTTAATATTAAAGTACAGCTTTCTCAATTGATCAACTATTCAAAAGACAATATCTATGGAGGTATTTAGCTGTTTTTATGACTAACAACAAGTTTCATAAGCTATTAGCTAAAGTCTAACAGGACCTTTGTGAGGGGTCAGGTACCCTTATTGCTCCAAATCTAAAGGACCCACAACTTTGCATTCAGCATTTATATTTACGTTTAATATTGTTTATTGTCTTTTTATTTAAAATGCTGCATTAGACTGTAGACATTCAGAAGGATATTTGTGTATTATTTGAGGGAAAATCACTTTATCGATAAACTAATGGGTAGCCACTAGTTTTCAAGGCTAGCAAAACAGAAAATAGAAAAACAAAAGTTGTGAGCTAAATAATAGTGTTGAATTTAGCTGTTGTATGATTTTGCTCACATGGTAGTGTCTAATGGTAGCTTATGTGCTAACAAATTTACTATCTCTTGTCTTTTATGTCGTTGCACAATCAGAAATTTAAGAGGATTGTCTGTTGATCATGTTTCAAGGACTGAAGCTACAACTTTGCACCCAACAGTACTGATGGATTAACATAAAAAGATAGACAATAAACAGCTTCAGTCTGGTGGGATATAGCTAATATGGCAATATTAGCATTAAACATTTGACAGAGTTGCACATGTGTGTTATGGAAAAAATTCAGCCAACATTTAGCTGGTTAGCTGAATTTCCATGATCTGAAAACTAAAGGTAGCTAACTGGCTCTCAATTAAGTTGCTCTTTTGCAAATGTGACAGTGCTTTGGGAGGCAGTGAGGATTGTCATTTACCTGCTAATTTGTTAGACTTACAATCTGGAATACAGCAGTACAAGTAATTGAGCCTCATTATTGTGAGTGTGGTGAATTAGCGTCTCTCCTGTTGTATTTATTTGCTGCTTAATGTCCCGTGAGCTCGGTGGTGGCAAGGTTGCTCTTTGGGTTCTGAATAATACCTTCTTTAAGCAGACCCCAGGCCTCTCAGCGGATCTGCTGGCTATAAATACTGGCACATATGTCACCATACTCTTGGCTGACGTACACTAAGCCCCGTCCTGAGCTCCGCGGGGACCAGCAGAGAGCTCCCAGGCCTGGACACACACCTCAGTCCTGCTGAGCTGCGTTTTGTCCCCCTCTCTCTCTGTCTTCATCATCCATCTGCCCGGTCAGCCTCTTCCTCCTCCTACCTCTTCCTCCTGTCGGCGTGTGGTCTGTGCAGAGATGGAGCAGCAGCATCAGTGACAGTCTGTTTGTTTAACAGTGTATCTGTGCTGTGAGAAGTCCAATCAGTGAGAGCAGCAGGAGACAGGAGTAGCTCTGTGGGACACATCGGACCAGTCGATGAGTCATCGTCGTATAAAAGCACGAGTACAGCTCAGTCATGTACACACACTAGTCAGAGTGTGTATGTCTGACCCTGTGTTCCCCGCAGAGTCGATTAACAGCCTGCTTTTTCCCATAAGAGAGAATCAAGATAGGCTCCAGGCAAAATTATGGTATCCATTTGCCAAATGTCTGGAACTCGAGAGTATCGACAAATAAACCAGACAGCTGCATCTCATTCTGCATGTTTGTAGTTCATTTCCCATCCTGTTCAGATTTCCAGTACAAACTGTATCCATTCTCTTTACTGGTTTAGTTTTGGGTCTGTGCTAGTGGTGGCTGGTCAAAAGAGGCCACCAGGGTGCCTCCCCTTCATATTTTTGCGATGTTATGGTTTAGCTAACAGTCTCCAGTGAAACCAATAAGGTTTATGAGGAAATATTTGGAGACATAACTGAAAACTGCCCAATTTTAGAGGAGATCTTTGCCAGAGAAGCTGGAAACAGTGCCACATGAGGGGAGACCTTCAGAGGAGAAGCTGACAGTAATGCTGTTTAAGAGATGATCTTTGCCGGAGTAGCTGAATATAATGCTGTCTAAGCAGAGATATATATGCAGGAGAAGCTGAGAATTATCCTGGTGGATGGGATCTTTGCAGGAGAAAAGAAAAATAGTGATGTTTGATAGAAATCTTAGCAAAAAAGTTGAAAAGTATGTAACGTGAACAAGATCTTTTGCAGGAGAAGATGAGAGCTTAAGAGCTTGGATCAGATCAGGAGGGTAGACAGCATTAAGAAGACAGCTGGACAATCACTTCTGGCTGTTTCTAAGGAGTTGGTCTACTGAGAGGCCTTGCTAAATGCTTTTTTTGGTTGCCCCTGCCTCCTTTTCAAATATCAGGATCAGACCTAGCATGATTTTAGACAGGTACGATTGGTGTCAAGCACTTCCGGATAAAGCTTTATCAGGAGCAAACAACAGTCCACGTGGAAACTGCTACCGTCATTCAGCTTGGCGAACATAAATACATGCTTTCAATTTTGCTTTCAATCCTACAATCTTGTAGATGCACATTTTTGATTTTGTCATCACCACGTCTGGATAGTTAAAGGGATATTCCGGCATAAAACTAATTTAGGGTCAAACACACCATAACACTGAGATAGACACCCCCTCCAGAGATGAATGTTGTCGACCGCTTGCTTCTCCAGTTATACCAACTTTAGTAACGACTGCAGGATAGCAATACACCGCGGTCTGAGGAACCATAAACAAACCTCAACCAAAAAGCCACTCTATAGCCACAAATAATGCTCAGAACAGCACCTAACTTCATCAGTACATATAGGGTCCCAGCCATAGCACTAGCCACCAAACATCTTTTTAACTTTGTCTAATTTCTTTCGCAAAGAGACTAAACACAACTCACCTACTCTCATCCAGCAGCCACTTGTTTGTAGCGAGACCTCGGGCCAGTCCATTACGGACTGCTGTGGGGTGACGCAGCTAAAGGAAGAACATTTATGATCGTTACTAAAGTTGGTATAACTGGAGAAGCGAGTGGTTGGCAACATTCATCTCTTGAGTGGGTGTCTAACTCGATGTTATGGTGTGTTTGACCCTGAATTAATTTTACGCTGGAATATCTCTTTAACTCTCTTGAATATTTTTCTGTCGATTAAGGCATGCACCCCTTACAAGACACAATTAAGCAGGACTTCATTATCAGCTGATACCGTAACATTCAATTAATCAGCTAATTAGCTAGGATGTTGCAGCCCTCCTTGTTTGTGTCTGCTCCTGATGATCATGAAAGCAGAGACACACCTTGTTCTCCACCTGACGGAGCCGAGCTGTGGTGTGAGCAGCTGCTGCCCACCCGTGCTGTCCTGCAGTCTGGTGTTGCTTTAATGTCACTGTGAGCCTGACCTCTTACTGTGACCGTCAGTAAGGGAACGCACAGATTCAGTAACCACAGCCAGCAGAGCGTTGAGCGAGGAGAAAGAAAAAGCTGCAGGTAGAAAGGAAGATGCACAGCAGGGCTCTGCTCCGTTTACCCCACCTCCCTGCATGAGTCCACATGTTAGACTCTCATATCTTCCTACAGACGACTGTTCTGTCTCCTCATTTGCCATCGATTCTCCCTGAACACCCCTAAAGCTGGGATTATACAATCATACCGCCACTTCTGCAGCCTCAATTTTCTCCAAGAAAAGCTGAATAAGTGGATATGTATAAGAGTGTGGTGTTCATACACCGGCGTGATCTGCCAGAGAGAGTGTGTGTGTGTGTGTGTGTGTGTGTGTGTGTGTGTGTGTGTGTGTGTGTGTGTGTGTGTGTGTGTGTGTGTGTGTGTGTGTGTGTGTATGTATGTGTGTGTGTGTGTGTGTGCGCTTGGCAGGCTGCGATGAAGTAACATGCAGCCTGCCAGGCCCTCTGAGCTTTTCCTTGGTGGCGGAAGCAGAGTTTTGGTTTGAGGTCTGTTGTCCATATGCCCTCCACCTGCCCACACTGACACATGACCATCTGTGTAGATCAGCGTGTCCCGCTGCAGTGTGCATGCAGGATCACACTTCGCACTGTAACATGGAAAATACACTCCAAACGCTCTTATCTAAGTGGTCACGTAGAGAATGGTCATAATGGTCAGTCTGCAAGAAGAGTTTCTTCTTCTTGTTTCTCTGCAGCTGTTTTGATCAATTATTCATTGATTAGTTGTGTTTTCATGCTGCATTTGTAGATCAAACTCGACAACCTTACGGCATTCTAGTCCCCTTGTGCCTTCTGTTGCCATGCAGATCAGTTAATGTAACATGAAGCATCTGAATAAAAATAAAATCACTGCACTGCCACAAATAGATGTCTGCGTATTTAAGTGTAGATGACAAATATATGTTGATCCCACTTTTTCTCATGTAATTCAAGTTGAGCATCTGACATACAGACAGTTAAAATGATAATGAAGAATCAAAAGATTGTTTGTCATCAGGTAAACTTGAATTTGGATAAACTGGTTCCAGTTTAGGCTCTGGTTTATGGGAATTTAGTCTCAAAGTACAGGATTGAGTTTTCAATCATGCTATTTCCCATCCAGTTTATCGGCCTGGACATGAGCAGCCTTGAGAGATGGTCTAAACAACAGCGGGAGCTGTGTTTGATCTTGGTTTTTCTGGCTGTTATGTGGGTCAATAATCACTCAGTTTTATTGGCAGCTTTAGAGGGCTGTCAACAGCAATATCATTCATGCATTTGTACCATTTCTACACATATTTCCAGAAGCTTTGAGACTTTCTGCAAAAAGGAGTCTGTCTTGCAGGAAGTTACAAACAGGAAAATGTCCCATAGTGTAAATAAATCAAACAGGAGTACACACACCGGGACAGACAGAAACCAAACATTCTCTAAATGATCCTCCCAGTTGGCTGAAGCAACCTTTGTGTTTGTGTGGATGGGATCTACACACAGTCCTGGCACTCAGGGGGAGATGGGGTGGGTGGGAGGGGGGCAGGAAATGAGTCTCTGGCTCATTGTCGGCTCAGTCCTGAGGGACAGCTGTCTGGCTCGGTGAGTGCTGACCTGTCAGAGCAGAGATCGAGTCAGACATACGAGAAGGATCAGAAATCATGAATAAATGAGCACAGCTTTTGGCATCAGACGCCGTGCTCACAGAGTGGAAGGATCAAGAGGCCGTTACAGCTGGTCCTCACAGAGTGGGCCAGTAAAACTCATTTAGCCTCATGTTGGTCCAACACTGTCTTCTAGGGGTGGGAATCACCAGTGACCCCACGATACGATATTATCACGACACTTGGGCCATGTTATGATATTATTGCGATTTCTAGCATTTTGAAATACAGTGAGTATTATGATACAATATATTGCAATTTATACAATTTATTCAACTGTTTAGCCAATTTAGCATTTGGCTTTCCTTTATGTTTGTCTTATTAATGCTGCATTTTATTTTCATGAAGCACATCTTGCAAACCTTATATATTTTTTGTACTAACTTTTTCTGCTCTAAGATGTCACCTCTGCCAACCTCACTGGACAAACAGTTGATTTTATTTTTGCATTATCATAGATCTGACTTCATATTAGCAATTAATTTGAAAAAAAAAAATACTTGGTAAATGAGACGATGCGATATATCACCAGACAAAATGTTGCAATACTATGCTATATTGATTTTTTCTTTCACCCCTACTTTCTACTGTTTTTATTTATTTATTTTCTGTTTATTTTTTTAATCAAATTATTCATCAACAATGTTATTTGATTTACTGTAAAAATGGCAAAGAAAATGTTGAATTTTGAAGAAATCCAACAACATTTAATTATGACATGTGGAGCAGAATTGGCCCCTTTCCATGCTAATAAACCTCACGGCAATGTGTAATTTGCTAACGCAGCTCTAAAAGCAGCACACAGTCAGAGTGAAATGTCTACAGGGAGCTGGAACTATAAAATGCTGACTAGGGTGTATCCAGGCTGTGTCAGGTTGAACGGGTAATTAACTATTTGACATTGTATAACCAGCTCAGGTATGAGGACTTTACCCACATACATTTTTAAAAGGCTTGCGTGGATCATATATTGTATGTTTCAAGATGTTTGACATACTAGGGGTTACATACAGTAAGAGAAAACCCATTTACTGTTTGACTTAAAGGTGGGGTAGGCAGGATTTGAGGAAGTGCCAGTTTTTGGGAGAAATCTTGAATGTAAACACTACCCCTCTCAACCAGTTTCCCCCTCAGCTCCTTCTCTCCCCTCCCTCTCTGCTCCAGCAAACCCTGCCCACATAACAAAACACAGCGATATCATTATATTACCAAATGTCATCAATAACTAATAGCTATTGACTGATATTAAAGGCTTTTTTGTATATACACCATAAAAAAAGATGCTTCTTTAACAGAATCCTGCTTACCCCACCTTTAAGAGGAGAATAAAAGAATTCAACCAGGACCTCGTTTATCAAAAAGATTATTATTTGCATACAGTAGGTTATATTTGGAGGTATAGCTCTGCTCTGAGAGCTCCCTTACCTTCGACACATATATGTGTAGAGTCAAAGCTCCCTCTGTTTAATGTGCATACATGAAAAGCTAAGGCACTGAGAGCAGCAGCAAAGATCCAAGGGCACATAACTGAGCAGGGTTCAGTGGAGGTTTCCTCAGATTGCAGAGGAAACATATAGATACATAGAAGGTAATTCAGCTGATATGGGCTGGTATTAAGATTAGCTGATATCCTGTGGGCCTGCCTGAACTAACACTCTGCTCCAGTAATTGTGAGAGCCAAAACAGTCAGACTCTGAGATTAAATGAAAACAGACCAGAGCTCTTCTCTGTACTGTACTGAAAACATCTGGGGAATAATAATCCATATCTTTGTGTTTACCCCTGAGCCTCCCTGCAGTTCCCGTCACTTTATCTCCCCTCAGCACTACGTATCTATAACATAAAGATCCCCTGAATCAGATTATCCAGCCTGACAACAAACCCTCTTTGTTTCCTGAAATGAGGTCACACAACCGCAGCAGAAAAAAAAATCAGTCAACAGAAAAGCTTTTGAGATGTCATCTTCTAATCAGAATATGCTTTTCTCATCGGAAACGCTGCCGTGCTCCAGCTCTAAATAGATCATGAGGCTGTGCCCGCTCACTGTGTGAACATTCAAAATAAGCTGCTTACTCCCTGCCTGCAATGCTGTTTCTTCAATTTTCAATATGGAGAAAATAACCAGTGCTGTTTGTCTATTCGGGTCGGCCCTGCAGGTCATCTGCGGGTTTGGAGGAAATCTGAAAATAGAGACATGGAGCTCAGAGAAGGACCGAGTCAGCTCTTTTCTGTATGGCCGTGAAACCTTACACTCTAAGCCATGGGATTTATGACCGCTTCTGTTGGCCTTTGTGTATTTTATTTTATTTTTTATTTTATTTTTTTGCAAGAATTCATTGCCATTCTCCAGCCTAGTGAAGATGAAAGGAAACATAAAAACAAGGAAAAGAGGTGAAAATAGAAAAAATGTGATATGAAGTCGTACAGTTTAGAGTCAGATCTCAGAGAAAACCTCCCCTCATGTACAAGAAACAATCATTGAGCTTTGAAACAGCCTTCATGATGCTATTCTTAACAGTCATTGTAATTTTCCACCTAATGCTCTTCTGAGTTTGTGCCGAGCACCTACGTTGTTTCGAAAGCTAGTTGGCTTGTGCCCACCTTAGCCCCTGTGGCTCTCCTGGGCCTATAATGAGATGTTTGAGGTGTAAAAGTGGTGTGCTGCTGTCTTTGAGGGCTTTAAGATGCTGGTTTGTTTTTCCTTGACTCCACACATAATGACACTGTGCTCAGTATGGGGCTAAATGTGGGGATGCCAGAAAACAAGGACACCATCACCAGCACCAATGTATTTGCCTTTTTTACACATTGATAAGAAATCCATCTAAAGCATGCTACTGGCTAAAATAACCACATCTACTAGATTGTAAAGCACTTTTAGGGCTGTTTGAGTAATATTTGGGATTTAACCCGAGAACACCATCACTATCGCTAGGTGATTTGTACCCGAAAGAATTTCCCCAAGAAAATGTACTTATCATCAAAATAGGACATCCATTTTCTACCGCTTTTCGCATTGGGGGTCAGTAGGGGGCTGGAGCCTATCCCAGCATCTTTGGGTGAAGACAGGGGACACCCTGGACAAGTCGTCAGTTCATCGCAGGGCTGACATATAGAGACAAACAACCATCCATGCTCACATTCACACCTATGGGCAACTTGAAAGTGGCCAACTAACCTAACCCCACTTCACACAAAGAGAACATGCAAACTCCACACAGAAATGCCTTGACCCGGATTTAAACCCTTCTTGCTGTGAGGCGACAGTGCTAACCACTACACCACTGTGCCGTCCCCAAAATAGGACAATACATGACAAATTAGAGTAGTTTTCTTTTATTTTTAACTGTGCAATAACCAAAGAGAGGGAAAAATGTGCTGTGAGGGGACCATATAAAAATGCAACAAAATAACTGAAATTAGGCATTCATGATCAAAAAATTCCTAAAAAAATATGCAGAAACAGTAAAACTTTTCCACTCATTCCTGGAGCATGTGAGTCTTTTGTG